TTCAACCGGTGCTCCGTCGCGATCGGCCAAGTTCGTCTGGTAGACGTCGGCGACGGTGACGACGATGTGCAGCAGTAGGTGCCGTGCCCTTCTGCACGGCTGGTGCGGTGATCGACGTGCTGTGTGTTGTGTGCACGCCGAAGGATTTTCCCTGTGTATAATATCCCTTGGCTTCTGGGTGGACCTGGTATGTCGGGTGCCCAAGCGTGAGCGCGGCAGGGGAGTGTTGAAGGAAATTGGCCCCGCCCTCGCATGGGCAAAACTGATCTTGTGGTCGGGTGTGTGGGAGGTGCAGCCGACCTTCCGCAGAGGTCGACGAAGGTGGTCGTCGACCTGCGCGGAACCATTGTGACTTCGTCGACGAAGGAGTTTGATGAAGGAGTTCAACGAGGATGGTCGACGAAGCAGTTCGTCGACCAGAGTGGCGCAGCTGGTGCAGAAGTTCGCGGGTGTCCGTCTGCGCAGGGTCGCGTTTGACCCTGCGCAACATTGAGACTGCACAGGCGAATTTTGGCCAGAAATTCGAATGTGCCCTAATTTCGACCAATCAGAAGCTGATATTTGAGTATCTTGACCGAGGTGCTCGACGAAGGTGCTCGACAAAGGTAATCGAGCCCCGACGACGAAGGTCGTCGACCTGCGACGACGAAGGTCGTCGACCTGCGACGACGAAGCTCGTCGACCTGCGACGACGAAGGTCGTCGACCCGCGACGACGAAGGTCGTCAACCGGTGATGACGAAGGTCGTCATCCTGCAGAGAAGCCAGGGGCTTCACCTGGTTGACCAAGTTACCTGCTCGACGAGGTGCGCGAAGGTGTGCGAACGTCGTCGAGGCTGCTGTGGCGAAGTCGACCGACGTGGCAGCACGTGGTCGACGTGGCTCATCAGGTGCAACCGTCAGCATGTGGCTGACAACCTGCGCAATGTACTTGACAGTGCACGTCGTGCATAACTGTCTACAAGCACCTGCGAAGTAGGTGCTTGCACATGCGCTTACAATGACCTGCGGATACAACGTTGGCAAGCCGCGCGGATGCTGCGTTGGCAAGCCGCGCGGGTGCAGCGTTGGCAGGCCGCCATTTTGCAGCGTTGGCAAGGCGCATACAAGCTGCGTTGGCAGGCCGTGAAGATGCTGCGTTGGCAGGTCATCAACTTTGTCGTGCTGGCAATCGACCTGCCTGAGCATTAGCAAGCCTTGCATCTGATGTAGTCTGTCTTTTGCCATTGCATGCTCATTCTGAACTCTGTTATTCTCAAATTTTCCTCAGTGAAACTCTTGCTGTTTTGCCCTGTGAAAACACAAGTCCTAGAGAACACAGACAGAGCTACGATCACTCCTACAACTCGTGCCTACCTAGTAGTCTAGCTCCCACCATTGTAGAGTTAATCTCCTCACTGTTCGATAGCATTTGGGCCACCAAACTCAAACCATTTGGGCCCGCTTCATTCGCCCAAATGGTTGCCGATGATGCCAAACGTCAATCGCCGGCAGTGTAATCATTAGAGCAGAGGCCTTGCCGCCTCCATTCACCAAGTGTAACGGCCGAAATGGGTGGAAGCCTCCACCCCAACGGCCCTTTAATGTGAAACACGGGGGACAGGGGGATCCACGGTCAGCGTCAGAAAGGGTGCTGCTTTTAAATTGTTTGAGGCGAAAAAACAAAAATGTGGTTCATATCGGTTAAAAAACGATTTCACTTTGTCCAAAGGATTTCGTTTTTAACAGGTTTACCCGTTGTTTTGTAAAAAATATCTAGAATTAACCAAACGGTCTGGCATTGGGGCCACTAATCTCAAAAGTAACATTGGCAATGGTCTGGGGTTTTGCTAGGGTGAAGCTGTGTAGATGCCGTAATCATTGCGCGGAAGTCACTGTTTCCGCGTGCTTTGGTGTGAAACTACCCCGTCTGAACTTCCCGCCACGCGGGAAATTTGTCTCATCGCAGGGGGTTCGTTCACGAGGGCGAGAAACTTGTCTCATCCCAGGGGAGTCGTTCGCGCTGGCGGGAATTTAAACTCGTCGCATGGGGGTCGCATGAGTCGCAAACCGTTTCCTGCCCAGCAAACAAGGTCACCTCAAAGATTTCCCGGCCAGTTCACCCTCGCTATCGAACAGGATCATAGAGTCGAAAAACGCCGACAATTGTCTAGATTTCTTAGATCGCGTTCACAGCAAGTTCCACCAAGCGAAGTAGCCCCAAAAGGCCCAAAAGTGCAGATATTTGGGTCCAGCGTGACAGTTTTGCTGCTGACCACACCCACTCCACGTGTCGTGCAAATGTGGATACACACCTAAACGAGTTTGAGCGAATTTTCAAACCCAATGAGGTGCATGTAACCCTTTCGACTTCAAGATTGTTCATGAGAAGCTTTCGTGAAGGAGCTCAAAACACGTGCTTCACAAATATCTGTGCACTGTTGTTGAGCGCGTTTCGCTCTGGGGGAACTTGCTGTGAACGTCATCTTAGGGCGCGTATCTTTTGTAAAATCTATGCAAAACTCGAGTTTTGAGTTGAATTGTACGTAGCTGAACCTAGGTCGACCTAGGCTCAACAATATTGGTTGCTGTAGCCCGAGTCGCTGCTCCTCAACTACAAGAACTACAAGACACGCGATAGTTCAACGATCGAAGTTGAACTTTCCCGAGTCGCGGTCAACCTACGTAGGTTACCCTGTTTTTCACGCGTTTTTGGCGTTACCGTAACACTTCTACCGAAGTCGTTCGTGCGCATGAATTGTGCTGCGGCCGTCGCCTAAATTCCCAACTACTTAGTGCATTGTCAAGAGGGCACACGAGTGAATTTTTGTGCACGCATAGTTTCAATCGAAAGTTCAACCCATTTGTCATCTACAATGTTGTACTACACAAGATGCCCAACCCCTGCATGCGAATTTGCCCTTTCCTCAATGGAAACTCTGCACCCGTGTATTAGGGTACCAGCCAGTTGCACCCCATTTACAAGCACCTCGAGCAATACGAACCACAAAAACCGAAGTTTGACAGAAGAGACCCATGTCAAACGGTCAACAGCGAGTTACAAAATCTTTTAAAAGCCCTTTTTGCTAAGTGCGAATTGACGAAAGCTTAGCGAAATGCAAGAATCACTTAAGAGCCCTCTTCACAAGGCAACCTTGGGTTAGTCAAACGGGCAGTGTAGGACACACGATGCACAATCGAAACATTTAGCTGAGATTCGCGAAAAGGGTTACCAGCAAAAGTTCAACCAAATTTTAGAACCTTAGCAATAGACACGCGCCCTTAGGTCTTCCTGGTAACTTCGGACAGGACAGCCCCCCAAAAGTGCACTGTAGTGGTTCCAGCGTGGCAGCGCAAAAGATTCCAATACGTGCTCACCAACTCTTGTGTGTGCGACCGTTTCGGCTTACCACATTCTAGCGCCCAATCAAGAGAGAATGCGACAACTCTATCCACACCCTGCGAAGGCGGAGCCTTTCCCACCAGCCAGGCCAAACCCAAGTGCGACGTCCTCATTCATCCCCCCGCCACCTCATCACAAACCCCAATGCCGAGTGCACTTTTCGCTGTCCCCACTTCGAACTTCGGGCAGCCCAGGAAGGCGATCTTACTAGCCATCCACGCGTTGGCCAACCAATCCAGCGCAAGCTCCGCTGGTTTGGTGATGCGTCATTCCTTGAACCGAGGCGAGTTTTCCACCCCAAACCAAACGCTCTATGGTCACAAATCGTTTTGACGCACGACGCATCTCACCGAACCGCATTCAAGTAGGCGCCCTTACTCATCCCCTTCGACGTTTACGTTTGGTTTTTCAACCGCTCCCTCACAGTTACTGCACAAGCAGTTTAGCACGAGTAACGAGTTTCCACTCCACGCTGTCTCCAGGACTGACGGAGTCAAGCAGAGCTGGTTTGTCTGTGATTGGGAAGACTTGCAATGACTAGCCCAGAGAGTGTTTACGGACTGTACAAATCTTGTAGATCTGCCAGCATTGTTGTCTGGTAGTAGACGATGTAGCAGCAGCAGCAGCAGCAGCAGCTGGCAGGCAACTTAGTTGCGGCTTCCTCCGACGCTCGGGATGTCGTTTGTCGACATGTTTCCCGGGAACGCACGGAGGAGCAGGCAGGCAGGCTCCATTACCCTGGAAGAGAAACACCCAAATCGTCCAACCCAACTCAACCCACCCAACCAACCCCAACATTTCATCAGCCACGTCTACGAGTCGCCTTCACGTGATAATCCCTTCCTCACGAGCTGTCGTTGGTTGAAGTGCCAGCATCGCGGGTGTTTTCTTGAATCTGAGTCGGATTGAATTTGGCTTATTCCAGTTCTCGGCTCCTCTCGCTCTGGTCCTGTTTCGGCGGCCCGACCGAACTCGAAACTGGAGCACAAGAAAGGCACAACTCACGGCTTCCCCTTTTCATGCGGATATCGCTTCTTCCCATGCGTTTCCTTCTTCTACCAGCCAGCTGGCATAACCGTACTGCACTCCCGCGTCGTCCTCCTTCTACTCGTCCTACCTGTATTACCTCCTCCAATATCTGCACTTTCTTGGTGCACCCTTCTACTAGCTGTCCTTTCTTCCGTCCTTCAGCTCAAGTGTCCAATCGCGACATCCTTTTCGGTTCCCTCTGCGCACCGACGTTCTGCTTTATAGTAAACTTAGCTCTGGTTGTCCAGAAGGTTATACTTTTATCAAAGATCTATCCTACCATGTCCTCTCACTTACAAGAAAAAGTATTTCTTCCTACTGACGCGCATTCCCCACCCGGTTACTACCAAGAAGCCAAGAAACTCGCCGCGTGACTGCTTCTTAGTTGAACCACGGAGCTTGAATTCGCGCTGTCCCTGAGTTAGAGCCTGAGTTGCGTCCTGCTGTGCTGCTGTGCGTGCTCCTGTGCTGCTGGCCGCTGTACTAGCGTTGCTGCTGTGCTCCTCATTTGACACCATCATCATCGTCTCGCCAGCATCGACCGACCGCATCGCATAATTTCGTTGGAAGCGGCATCTAACTTTGAAATCATGAAGGCGCGTTCGCACGGCGGCGTGGCTGTCAGGCGACGCTCTCGCATGCTCGCAGCACTGGCTGCTCTCATGCTCTCAGGTGTGCTCTCATGCTCTCAGGTGTGCTCTCATGCTCACAGGTGTGCTCTCATGCTCTCAGGTGTGCTCTCATGCTCACAGGTGTGCTCTCATGCTCACAGGTGTGCTCTCATGCTCTCAGGTGTGCTCTCATGCTCACAGGTGTGCTCTCATGCTCACAGGTGTGCTCTCATGCTCACAGGTGTGCTCTCATGCTCTCAGGTGTGCTCTCATGCTCTCAGGTGTGCTCTCATGCTCTCAGGTGTGCTCTCATGCTCTCAGGTGTGCTCTCATGCTCACAGGTGTGCTCTCATGCTCTCAGGTGTGCTCTCATGCTCACAGGTGTGCTCTCATGCTCTCAGGTGTGCTCTCATGCTCTCAGGTCTGCTCTCGTGCTCTCAGGTGTGCTCTCATGCTCTCAGGTGTGCTCTCATGCTCTCAGGTGTGCTCTCATGCTCTCAAGTTCGCCTTCGCAGGGGTTCTTTCGGGTCTCGTCTCAAATATACTATGTTTGATTGGCTGGAGCAAGCCCTGCGAGACTGACATGCCTAGTATATCGCCTTGCTATGCTACCCCCCTGTAACACCTCGCTACCCACTGGGTCAAAACGAGGGTTATATTTGAGGCGCAGCGGATGCACTCAACCCTTACGTGTAAGCCCCACAGGCGTTACACCCCGCGAGTGACCGAATCTTCCCTGTTGGGCCTCTGTTTCCTTGCTTCCTCATCCCACCCGCTTTCCCCTCTTTCCTCTCCCCCGCCCGTCCTCAGCCTGTGCGCCCAGGGCTGCTGCTGCTCGCCTCATTTCCCATCCTCCTTTCTTTCTTATCCACCCTTGACACTCCGCCCCGTCTTTCTTCCCCCTGACTCCCCTCGCTCTCCCCCATCCGCGCTCAGCCTGTGCGCCCAGGGCTGCTGCTGTTCGCCTGCCAGCTGCAAGCAACGCTGCCGACCGTAAGTCAGCAGCCTGTAGTCATCATCTCCTTCTCAAAAGTTACCTGTAGCGCTCTTTCCATACAACCTGTAGATTCACAATCCGTTCTCCCCACGTGTCTACTAGTCACCACTTGGAGTTTCTCCGCTCTCTCCCTCCCTCCCCTCCCTGCTCCCTGTGGGAAACATGCGGAACAGACTCGTGTGTGCAGCGCAAGTGTGGCGCCAATGCGATTTGCGTGAAGGAGAGGGGCGATGCCACCTGCGTCTGCAACGTTGGATTCTCCATGACCCCCGTCGGCTGTGTTGGTGAGTCACTGCTGCTGCTGCTGAGTGCCGCTGTGCTGGTGAGTCACTGCTGCTAGCTAGACTGCTGCTGGATTGTGCCATAAGCTCTGTTTTGACGAACCGGGTTTCAGGAGTCCCGCCAGGTGGCAGGAGTCTTGTCATGTGGTAGGAGTCCCGCCAGGTGGCATGGCAGGAACGCTTAGAGCTTAACTCTATTGAGGAGGCACTATTAGTGTCCCCTCACTCGTTGTTATGCAGACAGTAATATCTTGCATTCGTTGCTATTAGTCTCCCCTCACTCGCGCACCTCCCTCCCCTCTGCCCCCCTTCCCCAGACACATGCGCGCTCAAGGCGTGTGGCAGCAACGGCAAGTGCAGCAAGGACAGTGCTGGAGTGGCGTCCTGTGTGTGTGACACTAGCTTCGTGCTGCAGGCTGACAAGACTACATGCACTGGTAGGTGCTATGATGAAATGCTGCGGTATGTAACATACGTCTGTGCGGTTTGTAACATACGCAACGCACAACAAGATACCAACATGGAGTCCCATGCGTTATGCCGATGCCATCTGTCACTGTCGCGTACGCCATGCGCTTCACACTTTCTGTTCTGGCGACCCATCTCCCTTCCCTTGCCAGACGCGTGTGTGCTCAAGAGGTGTGGGAGTAACTCCAAGTGCGTGAAGAGCGCTGCAGGAGTGGCGTCCTGTGTGTGTGACACTGGCTTCGTGCTGCAGTCTGATGGCACCACATGCACCGGTATGTGCCATGCCATATGCCATGTGCACAACGCCTTGTTTTGTGCCATGAGCTGTGCGATGTGAAATGCCATGCGGTATGGACTAGGCCATGTTCTATGCCATGTCATGCTGTGCTATGCCATATGCTGTCATGTGTTATTCCATGTGCTATGCCATGTGTTATTCCATGTGCTATGCCATGTGTTATTCCATGTGCTATGCCATGTGCTGTCATGTGTTACTAAGTGGCAATATACGCGTTTTGCGTATATACGCGTGTCGTATATACGCACGCGTATATACACTATACGCAAAGGTCCTGAGACCCTAGATACGCTATTTCGGGCAGGTTAAAAAAACGTCGGGCAGCTAAAATAAGACCCCCCTGATATACTTCTGGGGTCCGTTTCCATGGGGGTTGGATTTCCCGGTTTTTTTTCGCGACAGAAATTTTTTCACCAACAACATTACAATGACAATCCCTCATCTCATACTACTACTACACATACTACTACTCCCGCTACTCCAGATCAATTAACCCACCTACGCATACTCATCCTCCAGAATGTCGTCTTTCCCCTCCTCCTCCTCCTCGTCCCCCTCCCCCACATTGTAGCCCTCGGGCACGGGAGGCTCCGGCATGTTCCCTAGCACCACACCCGGCATGACATTTGCACGGGAATGCCAGTTGCGCACAACGTTCCAGTTGTGCGCAACAACCAAATCCCGGCACTTGGCAGAGCCAAGGCGGTTTCGGCGGGCCGTGTGCACCCCACCCCACGTTGACCATCCCCTCTCACATGGTGACGCCGACACGGGCTGAGAGAGAGTCCTGATGGCGAGGGCCGCCAGCTTGGTGCGTCAGTGCCGTGCCACTGCCACCACTTTACCATGTCATACTTGCCCTCCTTGACCAAGTTCCTCTGAGCAATTGCATCCCCCACCCCGAAGCTTCCCTTCATATCCAGAAATGCCCTCACCCCGTCCTGCAGTTCCATCAAAGCCTCGCCAATGTCATCCCCATCATCCCCCTCCTTCCCGTGATTACTGAGGTGCTCGGCGTGCTGAGTGGGGGATAGGCTTGGAGAAGGCAAGCTCTTTCTCACCTGCTTTACTGATGCTACTTGGACTTCTGAGAAGCAGGATTGCTCATCTGTGGGAGGATACATCTGCGTAGTTGGGGGTGGACCTGTTAGTTGGAGGTCCAAGAAGCAGACGGAGACGGCACTCTCCTCTGTTGAGTCAGAGTACATGGCGATGTTCCATTGGGTGAAGGAGGTGATTTGGCTGAGGAGGCTGTTAGAGGAGATTGGCCAGGAGCAGAAGGTCGCTACGCTGCTGTTTTGTGACAGCAAGGGGGCTCTTGGGATGGCCAGGAACGCTGTGCTTCATGGGCTGAACAAGCACATGCGTATCAAGTGGCACTGGCTGCGTAAGGAGGTGAAGAGGGGGACGGTGAATCCGACATACATCAAGACTCACCAGCAGCCAGCAGACTTTCTCACCAAGAGGCTTGCGGATGAGCCTCATTGGCGTTGTGTGCGCATGAGTGGAATGAGCATGAACTAGCATGGAAGCACTCCGCGTCAGAGCCGAAGATGTCTTCATCCTGGTTCGCGGGGTTGAGAATCCGGCCCGCAACGTGCATGGGGCAGGCCAGGCTGCCGTCCCACCTGTTCTTCAACGCGCGGCGGATGGCCACTTTGTCGGAGTAGCTCAGCTGCTCCTCATCCTCCTCCACCACTTCCCCCACATCCTCGGTCAACTGCAGCATTATGTCATACATACGGCCCATCATCCCCTTGGCATCCCCATCGGTCTTACGCATTGCCATGAACGGGAGCTTCATCAGCTTGCAGAAAAACTCCGCCGTCTTCCACCACGCGTCATCAAGAACCTGCGCTGCAAAATTGTCCGCAGTCTTCTTCCTATCCCCAACTGCCCAGCCCTTCCACAGATCAGACACCACCATCTGCCTAAGCGACTGCCGCAGCTCACAGAGACGGGACACAACAATGTACTGTGTCCCGAATCTTGTTCCAGCCGGTTTCAGCGCCTGCAACATCTTTGCACCCACCAGTTCCGGGGTCCTCAAGTACCCCCTCGTCCAGTGGTGGTTGCGGACGAAGGAGCTGATCTCGCCCGCAGGGTCCACCACCTTCTTGGCCCACGTCATCGTGCCGACGTCCTCCATGAAGAGGTCCAACACGTGGGTGGCGCATGGCACGTGTTGAATGTGCGGCCATTCCGCGATCAACGCGTTGCACGCCACCGCGTAGTTGGACCCACCGTCCGTGCAGAACGCCACCACGTTCTCTGGGCCGACCTCCAACACCACGGGCCTGAGGATGCTGGCGACATAACCGCCGGTTTTGGTCTCCATGCGGCAGTCCACGCTGTCCTTGAACACGGCGCCACTGTCGTTGACGAGAAACACGTTCGCCTGGGGGCGGCCGTTCTTATCGGTCATCATATCAGAAGCAACTTTCATCATATCGGGGGGACGTATCCTGTGCCGGCGTCCCTAATGGCACAGACGGCATTGATGAAGAGAGGGTGCTCCGCGACGCGCTCCGGGATGCGACACGCCGCGAACATGAGCGCCAACGCCTCATGTGCATCGCGCTTCCCAGCTGCCGCGTCCGTCTCCAAGTAGTCAGTAATGCGGCTCCTCTTTCCGCTGCTGGTGACCGACGCAATGGCATCCGATGTCGCCTGACGGCGCTGATCCGCCGCTGCAGCCTTAGCCTCGTACTTCTTCCGCATCGCAGCCCGAATGTCAGCGGGGGCTTCCTTGCATATCGCCACTTCGCGGCGCTTCATCTTCCTCCAACTCGCCAAGTGCTGCGCGCAGCGGATGGCGGCACCAGAAAAAACATTGCAGCAGTACTTGCACTCGTACTGCTGCGATTTCCCCTCGTCCACCTTTATGCGGCGGAAATGCTTGAACACCTCGTGGTCGACATCCGGAAGGTAAACTCGCGCCGCACTAACAGGACTGGCCGTGCCGGTATTAGGAGGGGGAGTGGACTGGGTCGGGTTAACAACTGCAGAAGCCATTCTAAATAGGTATGTGAATGTAAACGGGAGGATGAATTGACGAGATATAAGAATACCTGCTTTTTAAGTAGTGTGGGATGGATTGGTGGGGAGAAGTTGGTGTGGAGGGAGTTTGTAGATCAAGAGCGGTACAAATTGGTGGAACTCCAATGTGAAATGTCAAGGACATCGCGACTCCAAACATTGGAGCCACGTAACCCAACTCACAGTCGCGGGGCCGCGAATTGAAAGCACGGAAACCAACTCACCTCCATACATTGAAGCCACGTCCTGGCCAGTGTAGATCTCGGACGTGCATTTGGAGCACGGCATCTTCTTCGCCGTGAGAAGACGAAACTTTTCAGATATACTCATTTTTTTTCGATTTTGGGCTGCCCCAAAAAAAACCCCTGAGCGTATTGCGTATTCGTTAGCGTATAGCGTTTTGCGTGTATACGCAAGCGGATATACGCTATACGCTTTATGGCAAAAGCGTATTTCGCCACTTAGATGTGTTATTCCATGAGTTATGCCATGTGCTATGCCATGTGCTATGCCATGTGCTATGCCATGTGCTGTCATGTGTTATTCCATGTGCTATTCCATGTGCTATGCCATGTGATACGGCATGGAATCTCAATCTTCCTGACCCCCTCTCCCCTCCTCGCGCAGACACATGCTTTCTCAAGGCGTGTGGCGTCAACGCCACGTGCATCAAGGACAGTGTTGGAGTGGCGTCCTGCGTGTGCAACGCTGGCTATGCCCTTCAGCCTGACGGCACCACATGCACTGGTGTGTGCTTCTGCATGCCTGCCTAGGCGTGTAAGTGATGCTATGTGCTGGAACTTGCGCACTGATCGATGACACAAAGCGGCTTGTGAGTAACAGAAAGATCGCGTAGCAATTCAGAAGTGAACTTGCGCACTGATCAAACACACAAAGTGACATTTGAGTAACATTAAGTTCTCCCAGCAACCCAAAAGTCAACTTGCGCACTGATCGATGACACAAAGTGTACCAGAAGTCGACTTGCTCAAAACCCACTTGCTGCTGTGCTGCGTACGAGAGCTTTTGTGCTGGCTGGCTGTGATTGATTGATAACACCGAGTCATTCTCTCAAGTTTCGAGGCGCCTCCAAATTAAAACCCACTTGCTGCTGCGCTGCGTACGAGAGCTTTCGTGCTGGCTGGCTGTGATTGATTGATAACACCGAGTCATTTCTCTCAAGTTTTGGTGCTCAGATTCCTGTTTCTTTTCGCTCTTCCTTCCGGCCACGTGTACTTTGAAGGCTGTTCGCTGCTGTCGTGATGCTTTGCTCTCTCTCTCTCTCTCTCTCTCTCTCTCTCTCTCTCTCTCTCTCTCTCTCTCTCTCTCTCTCTCTCTCTCTCTCTCTCTCTCTCTCTCTCTCTCTCTCTCTCTCTCTCTCTCTCTCTCTCTCTCTCTCTCTCTCTCTCTCTCTCTCTCTCTCTCATGTGCATGTTCGTAGGCATGACTGCATGTGCTTGCCGTGCTGATGGGATGTGGCACAGCAGAACTGGCCTTTACTGTTCACATATTCTCTTTCGCCACACTCCCTCTCTCCCTCCCCAGACACATGCGCACTCAAGGCATGTAGGGGGAATGGCACGTGCGTCAAGGACAGCACTACTGGAGTGGCGTCGTGTGTGTGTGACACTGGCTTTGAACTGGAAGCGGATGGCAGGACTTGCTCTGGTATGTGTGTGCTTAGCTTATGCTTGTGCGGTGCGGCTATGTGCTTAGGTGTGACTTGTTTGTGCATGTTGTGCTGATGGCATATACGTGATGATGATGGTGTAACAAAACAGAAATGGATTTTGATGGTTACATATTTTCCCGTTTCTCACTCTCTCCCATCCCAGACACATGCGCACTGAAGGCATGTAGGGGGAATGGCACGTGCATAAAGAACAGCACTACTGGAGTGGCGTCCTGTGTGTGTGACACTGGCTTTGCGCTGCAGGCGGATGGCATGACGTGCATTGGTATGTGGTGTGCTGGGATCAGCATGCTTTATGCTTGTGAGCGATGTTTGATACTTCTAAGAAAATGGGCTACTTTGTTGTTGGGCTTGTTCGTGCTGCTTTCTGTGCTGATCGAATGTGCATGGTTGCTGACAAATCGGAATCGACTTCAGCTGTTTTTTCTTGTTCCCTTCCCACACTCCCTCATTGCAGATACATGCACACTCAAAGCCTGTGGGAGCAACGGCAAGTGCATCAAGAACAGCACTACTGGAGTGGCGTCCTGTGTGTGTGACACTGGCTTTGTGCTGCAGCCTGATGGCAGGACGTGCACCGGTAGGCGCTGCTGTGCTTTGTGACAGCCTGATTGGCTGCTATATTCTAATCTTTACCTACTGACGGATGAATTCTTCTGAGCGCTGCCTTCGCCTCGTTACTCGTGAGTTGGCATATTCTGCTCGCACTAACTAACTCGTCTGCCTGACTCGTTTGATAGCTCCTCTCCCTCCATCTCTCCTCCAGATACCTGTGTCATCAAGGGCTGCAACGCTGCAGTTACCGATTGCGTGAAGGACGCTGCAGGCGCCGCCTCCTGTGTGTGCAAGCCGGGCTACCAGAATGTATCGGGCACGTGCATGGGTACGTTCGTCCACTTGCCTGGTTTCGTTTCGTGATGCAGCCAGATAGCAGGACGTGCATTGGTATGTTGTGGGCTACCAGAATGTATCGGGCACGTGCATGGGTACGTCCGTCTACTGGCCTGGTTTCGTATCGCGATGCAGCCAGATGGCAGGACGTGCATGGGTACGTGCCAGGCTACCTCAACATATCGGGCACGTGCGTGCATGGGTACTGTTGCTTTCTCTACTTCCCTAGACCGCAGTTCTCTGCTCCCATTTCTGCTCCCCTTGGCTAACTAGCTGCATCAGCTTGGTTCCTACCGGCTCGGTTCTCACTGGCTCGGTTCTCACTGGCTCGGTTCTCACTGGCTCGGTTCTCACTGGCTCGGTTCCCACTGGCTCGGTTCCCACTGGCTCGGTTCCCACTGGCTCGGTTCCCACTGGCTCGGTTCCCACTGGCTCGGTTCCCACTGGCTCGGTTCCCACTGGCTCGGTTCCCACTGGCTCGGTTCTGGCTCGATTCCCACTGGCTCGGTTCTGGCTCGATTCCCACTGGCTCGGTTCCCACTGGTCGGTTCCCACTGACTCGGTTCCCACTGGCTCGGTTCCCACTGGCTCGGTTCCCACTGGCTCGGTTCCCACTGGCTCGGTTCCCACTGGCTTGGTTCCCACTGGATCGGTTCCCACTGGCTCGGTTCCCACTGGCTCGGTTCTCGTCTTGCTGGCTCGGTTCTCGTCTCGCTGGCTAGGTTCTCACCAGCTCAGTCACTCACTCTTTTATGCTCCTTTTTCTTTTTGTTTGTTTGTTTTTTTTTTTTTCCTCGCCACCACAGGGCCTGCCTCGTGTGGGGTCTGCCCCTCAGGAAAGAGCCACCTGCACCGTGCTGCCTGCCTCGCATGGGACCTGCTCCCCAGGAGCCAGCTGCACTGTGCTGCCGTACAGCAAAGCCGCATGCATGCACCCTCCGTTGACTCACTCTCAACGCTCCTCTCTCTGCTCCCCTCACCACCACAGGGCCTGCCTCGTGTGGGGTCTGCCCTGCAGGAGCCACCTGCTCTCCGGTGCCGTACAGCAAAGCCGCCTACTGCCTGTGCCCTCCTGGCTTTGGCATGACCGCCGCTGGTTGCGTGCTCGGTATGTCCCCCTTGGCATCCACATGTTAGGTACAGCCATGTTACCATGTTACCATGTTACCCCTGGTTTCCTTCTTTGAGGCGCCTCAAAGCCGCGTACTGCCTGTTGTTGGTGTTAGCCCTCAATCTCACATTTTGTACTTGTACTTTTATATCCTAGTTTAGTGTAGTTTGCACTTTGTGTTTGGTTGGGTGTACACCCACATCCCAACCAAACCCAAATGTAATCTCCGAGCAATCTCCAACCCACCAATTGGAGATTGCCTTGGGATTACCCTTAAATTCCCTAGGATTGCCCCCTGATTCCCTCCTCATCCATACCTTGCTCATTTCTGATGTACTTAAAGAGCTTTGAGCTCACTACTAATGCATCGGAAGCCTAAGTTCTGACACCTGTGCCCTCCTGGCTTTGGCATGACCGCTGCTGGTTGCGTGGCGGGTGGGTATGCACTTGCTGCCTGCATAATAGATATGCCATTGGTGCCATTGGTGCCATTGGTGCCTGCACAGCATCTTAGGCATGCCTATTGTGCCTACAGCCTAAGTTGGAATGTACGCTCAAACCCTAAAGCGTACAGCGTATGTACGCTAGCGTGTGTACGCAAAACGTGATACGCTAGCTAATACGCTATACGCTCTGTCACGGAAAATAATGTAGGAGCAGTATATTCCGTACATTGCTAATGAGGTGTAGCGAGGTGTAGAATGTGGTGTGCAATTTGGGCTGTGGAGTTGGGATGTTGGGGACAGCGCGAAGTTGGCAACACTGGAAGTTGCGGATCATAGGTGAGAAGAAATCAGGAAACCAGGAAATCGGCAAGGGCCAATCCAGCGCCCACGCGACTCGATCAATACTCAGTTCACAGAATACATCGCGAGAGTAGGAGCATGCTTAAGTAGCCTAGCCTAGCATCAATACTCTTGTTCTCTCGTTTTTTTGTCTCATATAGTGGTCTAGTGTTACCGTTCTAAAGCTACCTAAGCTAGGTGACTGCGTCACTGTGGGCAACCAGCATGTGGGAGCCGGATCTCTCACAAACGAGAGAACCTGCGGCGATATGGATCGCCATGAGCTGCACTGGCAGCGGACGTATTCGCGGCGGGAACTTTCGCCGTCGCAAAGGAGGCGCTCGACGGAGCGTGGGGGATCGCCGACGCGTTCACCTCGAAGAGCGGCGCATCGTGCGGATCTGGTGACGCCCACGGGCGAGCGACGTGAGGGTGGCGGATCGGATCCGCTGGTCAGATTGGAGCCCAGGAGGAGGCTCGCGAGCAGTGACCCGTGGAACCTGGCAGGAGGCCAGCACGGAGCGGATGAACAGCGTCGCGACGACGACGTGGAGATGGACTCGCTGGGATCAGCGAGCGAGCATGACGACGAAGCAGAACAGGAGGACGCCTTGGCTATGCGGCTATGCGGAGTGATAAGCGTCAGGGTGCGGAAGAGCGGGAAGACTCCCCAATTGCGCGGGGCGGCGGGGAGCAAGGCATGAGGGCGGATGAGTTCCCCATTCCCCTCCCCTCCGCTCCCCTCCGCTTCCCTCCCTCCTTTCCCCTTGCAGGCGCCATCCCCAACGTCTCCTCAACCAGCTTCTCATTCTACTTGCTCCCCAGCTTCGGCATAACACCCTTGACATTTCACCACCCTACGCTGCCACCCCCTTCCAGGCGCCACCCCCACCGTCTCCTCGACCAGCTTCTCCTACTACATGCTCCCAAGCTTCGGCATAACACCTGCCGCCTACACCATGCGCCTCACCTACAACGGCTGCACCAACCTCACAGCCTCCTCTGCTCTAGACATCAAGTCCTACTGCGATGTGGAGCGGGCGCCTGGGGGCGCGGGCGACTGCACTGAGATCCGCCAGTACCACCAGCCGGGGTGCATTGGATCGTACAGCTTGTTTCCTATCACGCCAGGGACTGGCGTCAGCACTGGATGCATTGTGTGAGCAATTTTGACCAACCATCATTTCCTTTGTGACCTCCCACTCTCTCCTGCTCTCTCTCTCTCCT